AGATGCTTGCCTTTGTTGACGACAACATCTATAGCCATGTTTTGCTCCATCCAAAACCTCAGTAGACCTTGACTGCGTGGTGCCGATTCAACTTGGGCGTGGACTTTAAGGACTCTACGCCTACCGAGTGTCATACTACTGTATACATATACCTGAGAAGGGGGAGACGAAAGGGGCTCGGACTTAATTTAAATGTTGTCTTGTCTCTTTTTGGGTTTGTTTTTTTAACAGGGGCTCGGATTTAAGTTAACACTTCATTATGTGGGTCCCTGTCTCCACTCGAATCATCTATGCCCATTGTCCAAATCCAAATAGTTTCCAAAGCCCTTCATGATGCTAATGATGCACTACTCGGCGTCCATTAATTACATCACTCGCGTCACCAGACCCCATTTTCACTGCTTTTTGGACCCTCGCTTTGGAGCGCTCTCCCCCACCAAGCTCTGCGCAACTTAACTCACTTCGTTCGCCCTAAAAGCTCAAGCCTAGCCTATCGGCTGGCTTTCGTAATATATATATATATATATGCGTGTGTGTGTGTGTGACAATTCACAAAATGTATCCAAACATGCTTTGCGTGGGCAAGGGGCTCATTTGCGACACCAAGACTACTACTAGTTTAGGGAGTAAGTTTAGGAGTTAGGGTCCGCACGTCACATCCGAGCCAGAAATCCGCGTCACATCCGAGCCCCTTCCCCTTTGCGTGGGGCGTGGGAGCAGCATAATTATGTGCGTCATGATTTGCGCTGCATCCAATCAGTTTAGTGGCGGACGTCGCGCGCACTTTGTCAAGTGCGACGCTTGCGAACTTGCGAATTCGACTTGGGCTTGGGGTGTGAGCAGCACGCATGCTTGCGAATTTACCGATGCAGCAATTACTAGTTTGGACCACGAAACTGCGCTCATCACCTTGATGTTGGTCGCACTATCTACGCTTGGCGACTCTGCTGAGCGGAAGCTGTTCTCTGAAAACGTTTCTGGACATCGCGCATGTGCCACTACTAGCGATGCACCTCTAACCTACTAGCGATGGCCTCCAAGCTACTAGCGATGGCCTCCAGCCTAGCAGCGATGGCCTCCAACCTAGAAGCGATGGCCTCCGACCTGGACATCGCGCATCACAGCCTTGCTCGGTTTTTCCGCAGGCAAGTCTGTGCATGTGCCTACTTTTGCCGGTTGCACTCTTTCCACTCTGCCTTGGGAGACTCGGTACTCCCAGTGTTTTATACGAGTCGCATGCGGCGGCTTTGAGGATGTGAGAAACCCATTGTGCGTCTGACACGGAACGCAAACGCACGCAACGTGTTCACAAGGTTGTGCTTTGCACACTTCAGCACATCTCCATATATGGGAAAAACATTGAAAAAAACAACAAAACACGTTCCTTTGTTGTGGAACTTCAGTCTAAAGATTCTTGGGCCTGATCGATCCTCCGGCCAAAGCGTCGCCAATGCTGCCCGCACTGGCGATCAAGTCAAGGTGTCCATCGCCATCCCAATCCACCACTTCTGGGGTCGAAAAGTCTGTGCAGTAGATGCCCTTGAAAGGATTGGTGTCAGTGAGCTCGAGGTATTCGCCACTAGCTTGCCGTTCATAGTACCGAATACCTTCACCTTTTCCCTGGCAAACGCAGCGGAACGGAACACGGTAGTTTGATATGAAGCGATGCAGCATGTTCAAAGTGTACCCTTACCACCGTGTTCCCAATGTCGTCTCGAAAACCGAAGACAAGTCGAAGCCTCATATTCGACAGGAAACCGCAAATGCAAAACAAACAACATGGAAGTACACAACATCAAGCTCTATCATGTGGGAAGTTTGCTCCTTCACCCCTTTGTCCGGCCTTGTTTCGTACATTGTTGACGATGACGTCCAAATCACCATCCTCAGCTGATAAGGCAAAAGTGGTGGAGTGGTTCATGGCAGTGTATGGTTCTTCCATGTTCTTCCAATCCAGAACATTAAGCTATCAATACGAACCAGCTATATCAATGCTGTACACCGCCGTACCCCCCTTGCTTGTTGGGGGATCGGATTTATGTGGAGAGGACTCGCTGAGGTGTTGAACATCGGACCCCCCAGTCCAAGTAAAGGAGTGGACTCGCATGCACCGCAGAGCAATTTGTTGCGCAAACAGGCGAAGAGAATCACCATGAATTAAACATTGATGCCGTTTTGGGGGAACCGCTCTTGAAACAAGCAAACTTGGATTTGCTAGCCTACACTCTAGACTTCTAACAACCTACAACCAGCTGAGCGTCCTTGTCCCAATCCACCACGATCGCAGTGTCATACCTGACTTTGCGGTGATCCGATTGCTCTCGAAGGGTGCCCAACGAACGAGTGTCACGCGGTCTGGACGTAGCATCTTATATGCTGTCTGGCTATCTGTTCTGCACTCATGCAACTCCGTGCAACTCTGTATGAACCTAGTCCTCGCTCAACGAAAGGTTCTCGGTCCTCTCCAAATTCGAACCTTCCCGGTCACTATGAAGCAGCAAAATATAAGCATGACGAAGCTCGATGTCGACCGATCTGCGACCAGTTGCGGGGCAACTTCAACGGATGAGAAGGGATTGCCAGTGTCAGAGAACATCCTGGTGAACTTCTTGGCCTGAGACAAAGTCGAATCCAAACGTGAGAAGACAATGAATCAGCGACAATTGATCATTCATCAAAGTGAAGAGAAAACGAGTTGTTTGGGGGGGTCGATCAACAGATCAATCACTCTTTACAATTAGGTACGAATTTCATACTGTTTTGAAAAGATATGAAAAAGAGAAACACTTGTGAAAAATCCATGATATTCCATGATGGGGCCCTTCCACGCTCCCCATTTTGCACACCTGGCCTGGCCCACACAGCCCGTCTTTCCGTTGGTTTCGCACCATTTGAAGGCCGCTTCACCGCCGAAAACGGCGACGAAAACAACGGACCACCCGAGGTAGCACTTCATCGCGTCAACGAGGGAGCTCGAAAGTCAGCCAAAACTGCACACCAGTCGCCCAATAAGAATCTCACAAAGAAAACTCCTAATAGCAATGGCCTCCAACCTAATAGCGAGTCGCCAAATAAGCACATGAAAAGAAGAAGGAACTAAGGGTAAGGGTGCCCCTTTGATCAAGCCCCTTTACAATAAAGAAAAACATCCTCATCAAGGCGGCCTTACCTTCCTTTTTGATCCTGTTTTCATCTGTTCAAAAGCGGACATAACAGCGCCCGCAAACAGAAGCGAACTGAATGATCAGAACAACTGTCATGCTGTCGTGTGTGGTATAAGCCTTCTACTCTGACTACAAACAATGTGTCCGGACGAGACTACTCACGTGGCCGCAACTCAGTCGTGGATTCAGTGACTAGCCTTCCTGACCTTCCAAGCAAAGTCATCTTTTCAAATGGGACGATTGTAAATCTTAAGACACAACGACCCGGAGATCCTGAAAACATGTTTCACATACGACATGCTCACATGCTTCGCTAGAGCTCCGGGTCACAAACTCTCTCGGATTGCACCGAACAGAGTTGGGGTTTTCCGGGGGAGCTTGGCTGCCCCGGGGAAAGCTGCTTTGGGCACTTGCGGTTGGAGCCGCAGGGAGGAAAGCAAAATAATTCGATCCCAAAACGCTTCACCAACCAACCAACCAACCATTCACAAGTAGTCGATTCTCGCTCTGATTTCATTCGGCTTCCACCATGCAAGTGCAAGCTCGAGGCTAAAATGCCCGTGTTTCGGCTTAAACCGAATGATGTGAAACGTGTATCTCCAATAATTGCTTCTTGCGATCTGCTTTGTTTCTTTCTGTCTCTCGCTCTTTCTGGATTCGTACTCCCCCTAGTGGAGTGAAGGAGTGAGTGAAGTCAGCGAAAACAAAGCTGTTCTCCCTCGGTAACATGCACTGGCCACCATAGCAGTGTCAGGCGTCCACTAAACTTTGTTTGGTTCTGGATGTCGCATCATCCGCTGATGTGTAGAATCAAATGGATCACCTGCTCGCCCTTCTGCGTACACGTGTCTTCTTGATATTCCATCAAAAGAACGTTCTTTCCACGTGCATCCACCTAAACGAAAGCTTGGAAGTTTCTTGACCGGACATCGTGTGTCGGTTTCTGTGTGAGGCAACGATCGCAAGCCAAAAAGCCCCTAGACACCAGAGTCACTAGAGATCAGAGGCCCGCAATCGCAGCTCCTGCACGCGCCACACCCGCAGCCTGAGGTGGTGACATTGCCCATTGGGGGTCTTTGGTTCTGTGGGCCATTCGCTCCAAAAACGAAGTCTGAAGCTGTGAAAACAGATTTTTAGTTGGTGCATTTCCTTGTTTCCTTGGATGCACTGGTGAAACATGGACAGGATCTTTCTGAACTTCACCCTGATGACACACCAAGACCGAGCACCTTGAGACACACATCCGACCCCAACCTCCAACAGTCAGAGGTTTCCCTCTTGATTCAGGTCATATAACTTTCAGTGTGTCTTGAGTTCAGAGTAGATCCCACACTAACCTCGCGTAAGCCTCTCCTGCAGCGTTCACAGCACGGCTTGGCCTCGAAACAGCATGGTGCAAGTTGGACGCGAAATTTCCCAGTTGCATCGAGTTGTATCAAAATGTTGTATGTCTTTGCCACACCTGGAGAGCAGTTCCAAGTGAAATTAGCTGAACCATCGATCTGACCCCGTTGATGGTGCCTGCACAAACCTGTGACCCTCCGCTTGTCTGCCTGCCAAACGGAGGTGCTTGCTCCAAGTAAGGACTGCCTTAGAGTGGGATGACATGGCCCATGCTCCGTCGGGAAAACACACCTCTGAAAGTAGGATAGGTGGATTGCTTTACACAAATACTGGTGTGACATCCGGCCTCTGGAGGGAACGTTGCGGCTTCCATCCCGGTGCACAAAAAAGCGGCCCCCACTGCGCCTCTTTCGCCCTTTACGCCTAGCAGGTTTCCGTGGCTGGGAGTCCATGCCGATGCTGGGCGACGGCTCTCGTTGCCTTCGCGGGGAGACCTCGCGGCTACCTGAAGATGAGATTCCCTCGAATCACAAAGAAGACTGGAGCAAGAAGCAAGAAGCTACTAGTAGCAAGGACGCAAATAGGTTTGGAGGCCGTCGCAAATAGGTTCCATCATCTCTCTCTCTCTCTCTCGAATTGAAACAGGCTCTGACTCACTGCGCTCAGGTGCCCACCAGCCCTGTGCCACGGCGACGCCTCCCGCCTCAAGCAGCCCACGTTGAAACACCCGTCGGCCACGCCGATGGCATCGACTCCGAGGCACATTGGAAGGCCAAAGTCCCGTGCACGACCCACAGACCTCAGAAATTGACGCTACGAACGGGGCTCCTGGCCTTGCTACTAGGAGCAAGGACGCTACTAGGAGCCCCATTCTTTGACCCTTGACCGTATCATTCTTTGTCCCTTTGGTCCGATAAGGAACTGCTACATGCTGCTACCATCTGTGGCCTTGATCTGGGTCTAGAGTCTAACTGGACCATGTTGACATGAATTGAGCAAATTTTTGGAACTCTGACTTGAACAAGTCAAAAAACATCCCGCGTGGATGCTTGTTTTAACACTCGAAATCCTGCTTTGTTTTTTTTTTTCTCTCTCTCTCTCTCTCTCCCTATCTCTCTGACAAATCCTGTTTTTGATGTTTTACGATCTTAATTCCTTTGGTTCAGGCCAGCTCCCAAGTGTCAGAGTCGTATATTATTTGACAGCACCCATCAGTGTCCACATCCGTTGTTTGTGTGCCCATCTTTAGTGTTTCCTTTTATGTTTTTGGAGAAGAGTTTCGAGTCCCGTGACTTTCAAAGGAAGAAGCCACAACCCCCCGCATTCAAGTCGTGTCTGCCGTTGGGTGCTGTTGGCATACTTCCACAGGGTGAAGCAGCCTTTGCCTTTGGTGTGAAAGCCACTCTGCGCCTGAGCCACCTAACGGACTTCGCTGGCGGCGTGGGCTCATTTGGCGCATGGGGCTTTTCTGTCGCATGGGCGGTGCCACCTGGACTTTCGGAACGAAAATGGACACAATCGAACTGACTTCCAGAGTCCAATCATGTTCAGAGTTTACCAACTCCCTGACTTCAGAGTTTACCAACGAACTTTGCTCTTTTCTTGTCATCTCTCTACACTTGAGAGACATCTCATTCTCCGTTTCTGTCTCCATCTCTCTTCGAGGCCCGTGCGGGCGGAGGCGGGGGAGGCGAGCTCCTCACCCCGCACACCACAGCAAGGCCCGACTCCCGTTGTGAAAATCTTCGTTGGAGGGACTGTAACTTACCAGCGATGGCCTCCAACCTAAGAGCGCTATTAGGGACTGTAATTCTGCACAGATAGATGAGATTGAGATTGGGTGAGCTTCTAGATTTTACCAAAAGGATGTCTCCGAGCGCCGAAGCAAACCTGTGAAACACTCTGACACAGCTCGATCATATCTGACTTCGAGCCTTCTGGGCCTCACTTGCAACGCTTGTGTAGCGCGGGCAATCCACGTTCCAGGCCTTTGGGAAGTCGAACATCTTGAAGGCTACTACCCCGGTCATCTAAAACATTAAACACAAATCTCGGCCTGCTTTGAATCGTGCATCTCAAAGAGGGGCCCGGCCATTATATTGTTCTATACCAAAAATAACTGAAACTCCGAACAAGCTCCTGGCTTCAAGTCAATCACGATGCGTCCTGGGAGGGGTACGAACAGTTCGGACGATCCATCTTGGACTCCAAGGACGTGGTCTCCACGGACGTGTATCTCGAAGGAGGGGTTCTCCAAGCAACTGCACTGCGTTCAGAGAAATCATTCAGTCCAATTTTCGGATTCATATGGAATCATTCAAAATGAGATATCAGTGAAGCTTCGTGTGGGCATGTCAGGCTTTGACACAGCCTTGAGATCTCGAATTGTCTCTTGAAAAAAAGAAATCCTTTCTCTCGACTTTCGAAATCGGACATTGAGATCAAAAGGATTGAACATCTATTACCGCTTCAGTGACCATTCTCATCGCACTTCTATTCACTCCGTGTCTTTGAGTACCCCACCGTCTTGGTCAGCATCGATGATCTGAGCTGGGAGCCATTCCTAGGGCGATTGAAGCGGGTATGCCCAGGCCGGCCATTCGGCAACGAGTCCTTTTAAAGGCATTCTTGTCACATAGCGCGCAAACTGAAGTAAAGGGTAGTCTACGGCACTGGGGCAGGGATCTTCCAGAATCGTCTGAAAGCCTTTCTCAAGACAACGGCTTGCAAATTACCCCTGCGTCGTGTTCCAGCCGCTGGCAAATAGCAAGAATGTCAGTTGTCACACAGCGTGCATGGAATCTGCTCCCCGATAGATACTTGCTGCCTGCTCGATCCTCCCGACCTCCTACTTGGTTGGATTTAGGGCTGAACTTTGCACTATTTTGCACTGAACCACAGTTCCTCTTTCCGGTACATGTTCCTCTTTCTTTACATGCCTTCTTCTCTCAAGATTCCGATCTTCTGATCTGGGATCTAATTAGCATCTTTCAAAATCTTCTTCGCAGATTCGGAAAATGCTGAGCCTCCTGCTTTGTGGGTGCTTGAGTGATACTCGATGAGATCACCCTTCCTAGGTGTTTGACGTCTGTGCTGACAAGGTGTGCTTAACTGGAGTGGCGTTCACTTCCTGAGAACCCTGCCGATAAGAGCCAGCAAACTCTGCCTGTGAAGCACAACTAATCGCACGATCACCCTCACAGCACTGTTACAGGGCAAAAGAATGTCGTGTTTGGTAAAGTGCCGGCTGCACGTAGGGACCAGTGACCTCAACTGCAAAACGCCGGTCGCAGTGTTTTGAAGGGCGTTTGAGACCGCTTCCTCAACCAACAAAAAATGGACGCTTTTACCGACCGAACAGCCACCTGTAGTTTCTATATTATTACAATTATATATATACAGTATAAATATGTTTGATGCCCTAGGTCTTGAACAAGGGTTTTGTGAGTTGTCTGTGGTGCCAATCATGTGAACATCACAAACGTTGGCTACCAAGCCCAAGGGGCATATCAAAACCCGTGTGAAGCATCAACGCAGCGAACTGCTGATTCCTGAGCATCCACACAGATGGAGCCACAGGCGGAGGTGGCGGTGGCAGTTCATGCCTTACCCAAGGCGATTGACGATCCAAAAAGACGGATGCTCAAGTTAGAGGTGGCGACAAATGGTTTGAGACTGTTGAATTTGATTGGTTTCTTAGGTCCTGTAGTAGAACCCATGCAGATCAAAACGAGAGTGTGCAGTTTTGGGATTGCCTGGCAAACAGAAACAATCATGAGCGAAAGCCCACGGAGAAGGTCTGAAGTTCCAATTCTTGGGGCAGTGCATTTTCTGCGAACCGCTGCTCATACGGCCTGCAAACTCAAAACAGTGCGAGAACTCTGTCGACTTTGCGAGAACTCAATGTCAAAATCAAAGGCTCTGGGCTCAGCCGGTTTAAAAAGGGCTGCACTCTGGTGGACGGGTCAGGTTTAGACCAAAGAACGGCCCAGTGCTGCAGTTTCGCACCTTCCTGTGCAGCCTGCGCCTGCCACAATTCACCACTGTGGTGTGGTCACAAAACTTGCACCGATGCCGAATGCTTTCGGACAAAACTTGTGCCTCCTCCAGCATGAATTTGACCTTAGGCTCCGGTGATCTGTCGTTCATTGACTCGTCTGTAGCTGCAAAAGCAGAAAATTGAAAAAAAAAAACACCAACCAAGAATCTGATTATGTAACAGTTATATATAATATATACTATATAATTATATAACTATTCTATATACATCTGACTCTACTTCCTTTCATTGCTTTTTCGCTGGTGAATAAGGTACCAGCCATCGCCTGCATGGGAGGTCTTTGCAGGATGGCCTCTGCCTGGCAGACAAGCCGATGAGGCAAAATCCCATTGGCAGCCCATAGCCAATAGCACACTTCCAAACTTCTAGGGAAGGTGTCTCATGTTAGGCTCCATTAAATTTGCAGCGTACAAACTACAAGAACATCATTGTGATGCAGGCTAAAGTCCTTCACCTGTCCTCCGTGTTGATTTAGACTCGGCCCCTTGAATTCACGTCCTTGTTTGTGTCAAACAAGTAAGCTGGAGCCGAATTGAGTCCCCAACACTGGGTCGCTGTGTCTGGTTCCTGACGACATTCGCGTCCACACTGTCAGAGCATGGAAACACGAAGCGACGTTCGCGTCTAGAAACGAGCGTCCTGTGCAACATTTCTGTGCAGAGTTGCCGCAGGAAGTCGGAATATGAAGATGGCAGGGTGGGCGTAGGCCCACGGCAAATCCTCACATCGTCGTCACTTTGCATGTGATATGATTACTACCTCTGTGCGTCAGAAAGGAACAAGTAGAAAGATTTAGACAATCACTACACTCACTGATCACAATTTCGACTGTTTGCAAACATCAGATATCAGCCAGGCCTTTGGACCAAAGTCGAGATATTTGGCGCGTCAAAGGGCACCTGACACAATGAGTCTCCTAAGTTCTTCAGAGCTCAACTGTGACAGCTCTGACAGGTTCGCCGTCGGCTGTCAACTGAACTTCAGAAGTCTTAGACCTGAGGCTTAACACTAACGCGACCCTTCAAGGCTTTCAGTGAAGGCATCCGTAAAGTCATTTCTATTGGGCCTTTAGCAAGCTTTAGTAAGGAAGCCGTATAAAAGATCCAGCGCAATCTGCCCTCCACGAGGGCCCCGCCTTCAGCGCACAAAGCTCATATAAAATGCAGCCCATGGCCCAAATGTCGGAAGGCCAGGCGTAGGGCTTCTCCTGACAAACCTCTGGACTCAAGTAGTAAGGTGTGCCAATCCTTAGCTGAGATCAAGGTGAACATGGACAGATCGACAATACAATTGCTGACACAACCTTCAATATTAAAAAATAACTGGTGCTCCTGTTCATTCAATTTCATGTACATGTAGCTGATTGTAGTAGCTGATTGTAAATCAATATGACATCCGGATTGAACCAAGTGTCTGGGTCCTTGCACAGGCAAGGGTGTTGGACAGCACCTGAGTTTGAACGAATCATCCATGCACCCTTGGCCCCAACACAACGGGCCAGAGAGCAAATGAAAATCTGCCAGTCTGCAGTGATAGAGGTTCGTGTTCTGTCGGTTTGGGCGTGCTTTTATGCTCATGTCTACCACGGAACTCATCAAAACGAAGATGTCCCGCTGTTTCGTGTGGTTTCGCATGATTTCTCCGGGCCTTGGCAATTCCAAAGTCGCCCATCTTCAAATTGCCGCTGCGGCAAATAAAGAAATTCCCCGACTTTAGATCTCGATGCAACACATGTCTTTCCTTGGTGCACCCAAAAACACCGATCAACTGATAATGTCTCCAAACTGAAGCTCGAAAGCACTTACAGTTTTTTGTACCAAGGAACATGAATATACTTCAGCGCCAACAAAGCTTGAGTGACCCAGCGCAAAACTTGCTCTTCGGGCAGCCGCTGCGATCTCCTGACATCGCTCGGAGGTCCCACATCGGTGGAGGTCTCTTTTGGGCTGCTACTATAGCTACTGAATTTCCGGGAGTAAGCTACTAGCTACTAAAGCTACAATAGCTCGCGCTCGTACTAATGATTTGGTTGCATCTCATTGTTCTGGTGTCGTGGAAGCAGAGTGTTTTGTCAATGGTGCCTACAGCCGCTATAACCTATAGTGACACCAGAGACGCTCCGTCATAGAGTCAAGCTGAGAGATATTCATCAAACATGTCACGGGGCAATTCACAGCTTTAGCCATGAAAGGGGTCAGCACAGAAACTGTTCAGGGGCTGACCACTTCATGTTTGACTGCTACTACTTTTGAGATCTTCTAAGTCTACATGTTTAACCATGTTTAACCTGCAGAAGTTGGAGATCTTTGAAACCTTGGGAAGCCAAAACCACCAGAGTGCCAACAAATCATCCTCCCAGCACAGGTCTGGAGGGGAGGCATGCCATTTGAATCAGTTTGAAAAACTCGATTTGGTTCGGCCTAGCTACTAGCAGCGTCCTTGTCACTAGTAGTAATGCCAAGAGCTACTAGTAGCCTTCTTGCTACTAGTAGCGATGCCCTTTGTTACTAGTAGCTTCTTGCTCCTAGTAGTACGGCCAGGAGCCCCTAGTAGCGTCCTTGCTCCTAGTAGCGATGCCAGGAGCGCCTAGTAGCTTCTTGTTACTGGTTAGCTTCGGGTGTCCCGCTCCTCTTGGCAGACTCGATGACTTTGGAGAGATCTCCGCCCTCGCAATAGTCCATAAAGATACATAGCCAGCCATGCTCATGCAGGCTGTGCCGGTACCGAACAATGTAAGGATGCTTCAATGCCTTGGCTCTCTGCAATCCAGATTAATCCCTCCATCTAGCTCTTTGAATATATATATAGGTTGTGCTGGAGAGCCCTGAACCCCTGCTTGAAAGCCATTGATTGACTGGCACAGCAAAACATCCTCGAATTGGGATCACATTTGGAACCAAATTAAGTCCACTGGTAACAAGGACGCTACTAGGGTCTCCTGGCATCGCTACTAGGAGCAAGGACGCTACTAGGGGCTCCTACTGGGTCTGCCGTCTGTCCTGGTGTCGTTTGCAGACTGAGGTCGGTTCAGCCAGAAGCCTGCTTTCCTTGATGGCATCCTGAGGAAAAAAGACTGCACCATAATCAACACAACCAGCATTTATAGTTGATACGACTAAACAGTCAAACTCCTCTACAAAAGGCCTTCTGCACCATACTTCTCTGACATGGGCTTTGACAATAGGTTGAGTAGTGATCTATCACCATCATCTTCGCCGTCCTGAGTCTCCTTTGAAGAGGCAGCGCTAACGTCCACTGCTTTGCAGACCAACTTTGTGCCATCCTCCTGCTGCACCAGCAATGCCTTTCCGAAGGAGCCTCTCAGGTCGGCTGATTTGACATCCCCACAGCCTGTTCAGCCTGTGCAACTCATTCCGAGCTGAAGAACAAAATCCGCAATGATCAAAACTCAGACAGGGAAGAATGTGAACATTTACAGGAAGAATGGGACTACACCACCCATGGGACGTCTTCGCCTTCTCCGATCTTCTTGATCTCACCGAAGCCATGCTTTTGCAGGATCGGCCCCAAGTCACGGTGAGGGACGGGCATGGCACGGCGGCATGGCACACGCCACGCGGAACACGGCAACAAACAATAACAAATGGATCAGTTGGTCGTTGTGGTGCAGTTGGTCGGTTGTAGCATCGATGCTCGATCTCAGTTCAGAGGTGGGCTTTGCCTGTCCAGGCACTTCACAGTACTTCTTGCACCCTGCGATTGATGCTCGTGATTCCACACTGAACGTGTGTCGATCCATGAGTTCTACTTCTACTATAACTGCAGCCAATTCAGCGTTCATCCAAAGACAAACATGCTCACGACTTGTTCCTGCCACACAGAATGCATCGAAATGGCCATCCAGGTCTGATGAATCTGTCAACCTCCACCCTAATAATAGCGATGGCCTCCAACCTAAACAGCCTGAAACAAATCTTGGTTTTTGTTTTGAAAAAACTCTCAATTTGAATTAGATCACTTTGTGTCTTTCAAGGCTTCCAACCATGCCACTTGCGCCATCACATTTTTGGCCGATGTGTGTGTGCTCTACATGATGGTCCCTTTGGGCACCAGCTCTCCACGGGGATCTGAAACAAGGGCCACCTGCTGCCTTTGGGGAATCCTAGGAGCAAGGACGCTACTAGTAGCTCCTGGCCTTTCTACTAGGAGCAAGAAGCTACTATTTAAAAGATAACTTTTCTGATTCTCTTGTGAAAGTCTCTTTGGATCTAGTGATTCTTTATCTGACTCTATCTTTGAACACATGCATGCTCCAATCCCGACTGATTTCAATACTGTGAACTGTGAGCCAATGTTATATATGTCCTTTTCAACGTCTTGACTTGTTTGAAGATGATTGGGCTGTTGACCAATTCATACTCTATGCCAAGGCCAGGAAAGGCGCACAATTCCGTTGCTGACGGACATTCCCCATCACATTTGTGAGGAAATGGCCGCAAGTCTAAATAACACCCCGGGTCCAAATGTGAAATGCAGATGTGAGCTTCTGCATTTCGTCCACATGTTTGTGGGCAAAGGCCTTTGCTTGCCACAAACCACCTTGCAGACCTTGCATCCTTAAACCCGGATTCCTCAGGTTTCCAAAATATTCTGCTGCACAATGAAGTCTTCAATGACCTTTCGTGAACCAGGGACTCGATTGAAGGCCCAAATTCGCCGCAGTGTGTCCTCACGAAACATCAGCTGCACTACTGAGTCTCCAAAACACTGAAGAGATCCTCCGTGCCCAGTTGATACTTCTGTCAACATGGCCAGTTTGTTTCGGCATTTGGGGTCAGGTATCCTTTTTGCAATAATGAATTATCACATGGTTTTTTGTCGTGTTGCACATGCCGTGCACGTTGCTCGCAGTGGGAGCCACGCGTTGCTTTTTCGGGGTGTTGTGAGACTCTGTACAACTGAGATTCTGTTTTCTCTTCCTACCACAATTGAAAGTACAATAAACTGCCTATTGAAAGTACAAGCAAAATGAAGCAAATGCAAGAACACAAAGAATGAGCGTGGCTCTCTCCTCCCCTTTGTCCAAGAGTTGCTTTCGCAGCTCTTCTTTCAGCACCAGGAAGTGCCCCACGCCTTTGCAGCTCTGGGGCATTTGATACGTCCCGTGACCAAAGCTCAATTGAGTTCCAGCAGGTTTCTTCCAAATGTTTTGCTGCAGAGTCCCAGCCATTTCCCAACGGCATTTGCAGATTGTATCCCCAATGTCCAATATTTTGAAGATTGCCTTGTCTCATCTAAGTCTGGATCAATGAGTTGGCCCAAGGGTTCGGATGCCCTTTTCCTACGGTCAGGCTACAGCTCGCCTTTCCCAAAGTCCAACCGGCTTTCCTCGATCCCTGCGATCTCCGAGGATTCGCCTGGCAATCTCTCGTGAATCAACGGACATCTGCCAATGTGCTGAAGAATCCAAGTATGGAGAACTTGAGACAAGGCGTCTCATAATAATGAACACTAACACTAGTGTCTTCGCAAGGCAAGGGAGCAATTTCGGAGTGCAGCTTGGCTCTCGTCAGCGAACGGGCTTGAATCTGAGACCAACAGGCCCTGCCTGTGAGCGGATTTGCCCAGGGCACTAAATCGGCATGACCCTCCTGCGAAGCAAGTTGCTAGTGACTGCTAGTGAACTCTGCAAAAAGTCAAACTGTTATGCTCTGGACTTTCACACAGTCAACTTAAATTGGTCAGTTGGGCCAATTTGCGAATCATGCCAACCATCCAAAGATGGAGTTGATCGACTTGTCAAAACCTGAGGCCCAAGCTCGTGGGTTTTCGCACTACTCATGGCTCAACTGAGGTACACCATGCAAACGTTTAGTGCGGCCCGACTCAGAAATGCGGCAGCCCGGCAAAGATTGGCAAAAATGCTGATCTGGCAATGGTTGCTTCCGAACGTCGTCGTGCGGCTTAGGCGTACAACAAACTCTGCACCGGTACACTCCCAAATTCCGCGACTTGCAGAAGCAAACATTTGGCCACGATTCACGGGATATCACTAGATCATGTTCACCCGAGGTGGCACAAATCTCCTCACACGAGGCATGGATTCATGTGGATTCCCACTTCCTCCCTAGTCTCCAGTCTTCCCTAGTCCCCAGTCCTGCAGCTGCATCAGCTGCGGGGTGGGCGCAAAAATCACCACGAAGGAGCCTACAAAATGCTGTATTCAAGGCCACAAGATGGAGTCAACCATCAGGTGCGTTTAGAGAACGAACAGGCATGCATGAAAATGTGGATTCACAAAATGGACCGACATGAGTGTCTGGTTATGAAGAATTGATGTCTATGGGACAAGCCATTTCATGTGCAAACAACAGGAGAGCCAGCCCTATTATTTCTGTGTTGGCCTTTCCCAGCATATCAACTGTTGCTTCAAGGATTCAAGGACCTTTGAGGCAGCTCTTGGGAACCCATCACTCTCACATTGTGCCTTCTTGATCGCTCATGCACAAGACCAGAAAGTCCTTGGTCCAAAGTTCATTCAAGTTTCTAGAGTCTATAGAGAGTTTGGCACAGATTGGCAAAGAACGTCTTCAACAGATCTTCATAATATACACAAGAAAAGGGCAGGAGAAGACGGTTCCTTTTGATGGCAGAATTTGCTATGGGCTTTGGGTTTGATTCTTGGCATAGCATGAACCACTTTTGGATCCATGGGAAACTCGCTGCCTAGCTCTGCACTGCCTTACACTCTTCCAAAGGAACTTCTCTGCGCAAGGGCAGTCGGCCAAGGCCAGCAGTCTGCCGGGCCAGGCTTAGAGTGTTCCGCAGCAACATCGCGATGGTCATAGGACCAACGCCACCCGGAACTGGGGTGATCAAAGAGGCTACTCCTAGAGCTTCGCTGTATTTGACGTCACCCACCAACCGATATCCAGACTTTTTGGTCTCATCGTCAATAGAGTTGATACCAACATCAATCACAACACACCCTGGCTTCAGCCATTCGCCACGCACGAATTCCGCTTGACCAACTGCTACGACAACAAGATCAGCATCACGGAGGTGTCGCTCGATATTCTGCGTTTGAGAATGGCAGGTAGTGACTGTGGCATCCAACGACAAAAGCAGCTGTGCCATTGGCATCCCCACCAAGTTTGACCTTCCCACCACCACGGCGCTCTTTCCTGCTACTGTCACGCCACTACGCTGCAGCAGTTCGACACAGCCGGCTGGAGTGCAGGGTACTGCCAATGGTGGATCGCCTCCTTTGAGACAAAGATTTCCAATATTTTCTGCAGCAAAACCATCGGCATCCTTCTCCACTTTGATGCTTTTGAGGACAGCTGCTTCGCTGATGTGTTCAGGCAACGGTAGCTGGACCAGTATGCCATGAACCTTTGGATCGGCATTTAGTTTTGCCACTTCTGCCAGCAGTTCCGGCTCAGTGATGCTCTCAGGAAGCTCGACATCTGTGACATGAAAGCCCGCTTCTGTCGCAGCCTTTTTCTTATTTCGCACATAAGATTGGGAATCCGGCCGCTCTCCAACCAGTATCATGGCCAATCCAGGTGTAACACCAGTTGTACGCTCCAGGTCTGCAGTCAGGTCCTTCACCTCTGCTCGTACCAATGCTGCGATCGCTTTTCCATCAATCAGCTTGGTTTGGGTTTCCATCAGCTGGAAATGTCCAATCTGTTTCTCAACCTTTCGGCTGGGAACTTTGAGGCCTCTACTAATGGCTACGGAAAGCACCGAAGCGCGCTGGAAAAGCATCCAGGCTTGAGAGAGATAACTCAAGTGAGCCTTTCCTAGATCTTGTGACCCCACTCTCCACCGGACATCGTCTGCTCAGGTCCTCTCTGAAAGATCTGCCAAGGTGCGATCGCCTCAGGTCCTCCCAAACACTCCAGCAGCCGCAGACGCAACTGCCTGTTCACACAGTCCCCAGTGTTCCCCAGTTCATGTGCACGTAAAGAGCCTCTCTGGACAAACGACTATAGCTTGATGCTCTGCTCAAACGAAAGCTATATATTGCTGTACCAATCGAGTGTCAAGCGCTTACACTCCTGTGACTTTTATAACAGTGCTATTCATACGGGATTCTGTGAGAAACTCCGCACCAGATTCCTCGTTCCCAACTACAAAACTGCTACGAACGTGAGGAGATGAAAGCAAAATGAAAAACCTTTCTTTCGAGCGAAGGAGCTGGTTATGCAAGACTTTACACTTCGCTTACCCCACTCGCATTTCATCTGACGTGCCCAGGGGTCATGAAGTGCTTAAACGACGCTTACGCAAATAAATAAGGACAAACTGTCTGCACCACACCACAACATAAGCTTACCAGCTTACGCGCGTGAAAATACAAGCAAGCACTGTACGTAAGCGCAAGGACAAGCAACGCTGAAATTCAGGTTTCTGATGGTTTTTGCTTACGCACAATGTCCTCATGTCCAGGCAAAAAAACACAGGCAGTGGACCATGGCAAGAAGCTGCAAAACTGCTACTTTTTAAACCATCTTCTTTTGAGTTACCAATAGCGATGGCCTTCAACCTACTAGCGATTTGCTCCAGCCTCACTGTGCCTCAAGTATTCACTAGTGCAGCTTCGGCACGTGAGGAAGCGCACCAGGCCGGGCGCCAACTCAGGGCAGCGGCAGCGCAGCATCAGACCGCTGTTCTCCGGGTCACTGCCCTGGTTCCGTCACTCAGACATGGGTGTTGAACGGATGAAGCTGGAGAATCCCTGGGTCATTGTTCTGACTTTTTTGAGACGAAAGTAGAGATGCGAATTTGAGTCCCCGAATTAACTTGAACACGGTGAGATGGACCCCGCGTGGTAAATGAGTGGCGCACCTGTCCTGGTCACCCCTCTGTCCGCCAGCAATATGCGCACTGCACGAGAGCAAAGTGCGGATCCTTCTCATTTCGGTTTAGGCGTGAAGCGCCTCCGCGTTTATGTCCACGATCTCCAGCATCGTGTGGGGCCCGAGGATATCATTGAGGCGTTCGACCTTGCCCCGACTTTGTCGCAAAGATGTCAGCGACGTGACGTGCCACTCCACAGGTCAAATATCAAAAGTATGGCCGAACATGGCCAAAAAATAACTTTGCTGTGTCATTTCACAAGGCATGGTACAGTATATGCCGCCAAACCAGTATATATAGTTCACCCTAAGACCCCAATTCTCCGGAGCTCGACAATTCGCAAAACTACGCTGCGCCGCCTTCGTTCCATCTGGAATCGGCATAGGACAGGCCTACGGAGCCCAGCTGGCAAAAGTGAAACCCTAAAGACCCTAATAGGAAGACAAACCTAATAGGAATGGCCTCCTATTGAGGAAATCTCAGATTGATATTGATATGAAGGCAACATGTGAGAAGACACTGCACTGGTTCCACCTGCACAACACATCTTTCTGGCGATGGATCAGATTGCGATGCTTCCGATGTCCAACTCCTGTCCGGCTACCTTCCCCAAACAAGGTCTAAGGCCCGATGACCTTGGCAGCAAACACGCGCGCAGCCGCCACTTTCAAGATGGGGTACTTGTTCCAGTGGCCTTGCGGAGAGAACGGTTGGCCTGAGGGCGGCCTGAGGATTTTTTATTTTGAAAGACTCTTTGGCACAAAGAAAGCTGCCAACGTATCTCACTCTACAAGATCGGCTTGGAGACAGGAACAACATCCAATGAAGTGGAAAGGTCTCAAACACCTACCCAATGGTCTTTTGAAGAATCGGACTTCCGCTTGTGAGCTAGGCCTCTAGGCTTTGTGATTACAATTATATACACCAAATAAACAAAATCAAACAGCCATTGAAAAGAGTTGAGGTGAAGTGATAAGAAGGCACACTCGAATGATCCCAACCTGCCTTCAGCCAGTTGTGTGTGCTGCGTCTGGCGAATGGAGCTGCCAACCTGTTCATCTGTCTCTGATGTCTCTTGGCTTGAAGAAAAAAGGCTCAATTAGATGATCTCCGTCCTCAAATGTTGGACGATCAATGATCAAGAGTTTTCTTGATGTTTATCGGCCAAGGTCACTAGGAGCGATCGGATGCTACTAGGGGGCTCCTGCCCTTACTACTAGGAGCATTCTTGCTACTAGGAGCAAAGGGAATCGCTACTAGGAGCAAGGATGCTGCTAGGGCATCGCGAAAACAATTTTGGACAAATGTGGAGCATGTCTTTTCAAGGGAAAAGGACTTTTCTCTCAAATGTGGATCTTCTTTCCTGCCAGCCTTGGACGGTCGAGAACAACTTCTCTCACTTTATAGACCCGGCATCAAACTGATATCAAGAAAGCTTGGGGGGTATGCATGCCAGAGTGCAAATTCCACACCATTGCTACTCTCATTGACACTCCACCCATCGAGCCTTTGGGTTTTGGCCAACAGCAATGAAGGCTTCCCCCGGCAAAGCATGGATGGCTGGGCCATGCGGGTTGAGCTGGTAGGCTTCCTGTAGACAGCTTCATTGCTAGTCTCTTTGGCTGCAGCCTCCTTGTTCTTCTATCAGGAGACCACCCAAGATTTGTTTTGGAACTAGCTTGTATGTATGTGCGCTGCCTGGCCAAAACTTGATCAACAAGGCAAATCGGCCAAATCGGGTCCTGAAGAATCTTTTCGATGTCAGTGATGTACCAGTTCTCGATGTTTGCCTCCGGAAATTGAGACATCACAGAGATTACATCAACGCCTTCTGAGACGTCACGGAAATGTCAACAATGATTGAACATCTTCAAATTAAAAAAAATGTGTCTCGGTTGGCAAAGCAAGTAGGCTGGAGGCGATTGCTATTAGGTTGGAGGCCATCGCTAGTAGGTTGGAGGCCATCGCTAGAAGGTTGGAGGCCATCGCTCTTAGGTTGGAGGCCATCGGTATTAGGTTGGAGGCCATCGCTAGTAGGTTGGAGGCCATCGCTAGTAGGTTGGAGGCCATCGCTAGTAGGTTGGAGGTTGGAGGATATTGCTATTAGGTTGGAGGCCATCGCCAGTAGGTTGGAGGCCATCGCTAATAGGTTGGAGGCCATCGCTAGTAGGTTGGAGGCCATCGCTTATTAGGTTGGAGGTTGGAAGATATTGGTATCAGGTTGGAGGCCATTGCTATTAGGTTGGAGGCCATTACTAGTAGGTTGGAGGCCATCGTTAGTAGGTTGGAGGCCAGCGCTCTTAGGTTGGAGGTTGGAGGATATTGCTATTAGGTTGGAGGCCATTGCTATTAGGTTGGAGGCCATCGCTAATAGGTTGGGGGCCATCGCTAGTAGGTTGGCGGCCATCGCTCTTAGGTTGGAGGTTGGAAGATATTGCATTTGGTTGGAGGCCATTGCTATTAGGTTGGAGGCCATCGCTAGTAGGTTG